TTCTGCTTGCCTGGTGTTTGGGATTCATCAAACTCTTTTTCTTTTTCGCTTCTATCAACATTGTTGTCACCATTCGAAGCATTCTCGGGAACATAATCATCACTGCTTGTAATCAATTCTTCATCACTTTCTACCAACTCTTCCTTTTCTTTATGCCGACTCCTATGTTCTATGGAGCTAATGGTTCTGTCACTTGATATAGAAGAATTATTAGTGGTCATTACAGTGACCATACCATGATTAACCTTAGATTTGTTGGAGATTTCTTTGCTATTCTGCTTGCCTGGTGTTTGGGATTCATCAAACTCTTTTTCTTTTTCACTTCTAACAACATTCTGGTTACTCCTTTTTGGCAATGGACTTACACCTACTTCCGAATGTGATGAACTTTCATCATCCGAATCAGTCCCGGGAACATAATCATCACTGCTTGTAATCAATTCTTCATCACTTTCTACCAACTCTTCCTTTTCTTTATGCCGACTCCTACGTTCTATGGAGCTAATGGTTCTGTCACCTGATATAGAAAAATTATTAGTGGTCATTACAGTGACCATACCATGATTAACCTTAGCTTTGTTGGAGATTTCTTTGCTTTTCTGCTTGCCTGGTGTTTGGGATTCATCAAACTCTTTTTCTTTTTCGCTTCTATCAACATTGTTGTCACCATTCGAAGCATTCTCGGGAACATAATCATCACTGCTTGTAATCAATTCTTCATCACTTTCTACCAACTCTTCCTTTTCTTTATGCCGACTCCTATGTTCTATGGAGCTAATGGTTCTGTCACTTGATATAGAAGAATTATTAGTGGTCATTACAGTGACCACACCATGATTAACCTTAGATTTGTTGGAGATTTCTTTGCTATTCTGCTTGCCTGGTGTTTGGGATTCATCAAACTCTTTTTCTTTTTCACTTCTAACAACATTCTGGTTACTCCTTTTTGGTAATGGAATTACTTCTGAAAGTGATGAACTGTCATCATCCGAATCAGTCTCGGAACATAATCGTCACTGCTTCTAATCAATTCATCACTTTCTACCAACTCTTCCTTTTCTTTATGCCGACTCCTACGTTCTTTGGAGCTAATGGTTCTGTCACTTGATATAGAAGAATTATCAGTGGTCATTACAGTGACCATACCATGATTAACCTTAGATTTGTTGGAGATTTCTTTGCTATTCTGCTTGCCTGGTGTTTGGGATTCATCAAACTCTTTTTCTTTTTCACTTCTATCAACATTGTTGTCACCATTCGAAGCATTCTCAGGAACATAATCATCACTGCTTGTAATCAATTCTTCATCACTTTCTACCAACTCTTCCTTTTCTTTATGCCGACTCCTACATTCTACGGAGCTAATGGTTCTGTCACTTGATAAATGAAATGTTGAATCTGAGGGATGAAATATTATTATAGTGTAAAATAAGTGAAAACTCAACTTTACAAAATCTTGAAATTGTCATATCAAGTACAGTATATTTTTGCATGTAAGTCACCCCCAGTACTAAATGCATCGTTTATATCACATCAACTGGAAATGTGTAGTTTAAAAAAATGTCCAAATACTACAATTGTGATTGTTCAAATGTTATAAAAATACTAAACCTATTCCCTTTCAAATTGCTAATTGGTTAAATATTTTAATTATCAATGAGGCGCTCTAAGTATGCTTGGGTAATTAATTATGATATCTATTCTTCAAACACCTTTCGTAAAATTTATGTGTTGCTCAAACTGACGTGTCAAGTTGAGCAAAACCATAATACAACAGTTACAAAATGCGTGTGGCTGCTGTCTGTCATGATCAGTAGCACTCGTTTCTGCCGCTGATAAATGTAGGTCGATTTGCTTTTATTTTTGAGTAACACTACAATTTTGTTTTATACCAACTAACTTACTTTTATATACATCATCCTCCAGTTCAGTTTCCCTTTCTTTAAACACAGTCAATAATCTATAATAAAGGATCATGGAATAAATGAAACAAATACAATTTATATAGTTTTATAGCAGTTTATAGTTTAATCAAAATTATGATCAGGTTGCCAACATTTTGAGCAATTAAATTTGCATACTTTTTAAACAACTTTAAAAACATATTGCCTGCAAATTACGCCTATATTCATTTTTTTTTTTCAATTATACAATACTCTAATTTTTATACATATTTTACTGTTATAATTATGGCAAGCACAACTGATATTTCAACATTAATAAATTTAGCAATGATGCAATATGGGAATTATGCCTTTTAAAAGTAACATTTTCAAATTCAGTGTTTATCTAGTTCTATAATTATTTTTTAAACTTTTTTCTTCTGGCATACAAGTGACTTGCTTAACAGAAAAAAAGAAAATGAGCAAATCTCAATGATAAAACATGGATTCCTAAAATCCCACCAAGCGTCATTTGGATCAATAATTTTAGTAATATAAATACAATGAAATATCACATCTTTGTTGTGGTGGTAGAGTGTACTCCATCGCACTTGGTGCCTTAGTGACGCTCGATAGATGCGATGTAAAGTTGTTGTGTCAAGCGACAAAATTACTATTACACTTCTTGTGAAGAATTAATTTTACATTATTTCTCACTGTTTTTAAACAAACTGTTCAACATGCACCTTTGAAGTAATGACGATGTCTGGGATTTTCTTTTTTTGCAATTAGTATGCATATGGTAGTTTCACAAATTTAGTAACTTAAAAAAAAAAAAAAGATATGGATGCTTGAATTGATAATCATAACCATTACTTAAAGAAATATAAATTTTAAAATTTCACACAACTGTGATGCCTGAATGTGGCAATCAAAAAGTATGTACTTACTTGATGTTCAAACAATGACCTTGTAAAAGAATCTTCATTGTATTCAACAACATATTTGCCTGAAAAGCAGATTGATGTACAGTATCCCATCAGTCATTAATTTTTTTGTATTTCTTGCTTTCTTATGATCAAGCACTCAATGTATAATAACAATATATAAAATAATGATTTTAGACCATGTAATTTTTTTTTCACTTTTTTCTTTCAAATTAGAAAGTTTACCTTTTATATAGTCTTTTATAGTGGCTCTATGCCATGTTCCGCTTGGTGGCCAAATGGCCTCAACTTTGTCTCCAACTGCAAACTAAAAAAGTAATGTAACATTTTTCAAATATTTCAAATAATGTATAATAAAAAATATTTGCATTATCCCTCCAAAAAAAAAGAAAAATAATTTGAAATTTTTTTATTAATTATTATATAGCACAACTATAGTTTTCTAGTTTTTCGCACGTTTGTGCCACTAGGAATAACTAAAATATAAAAAAATGAGATATAGTATCAATTTTCAAAGTCCTTTTAAAGTGTGTGAGTGTCATAATTCAATCTTCTAGAGAGTCAATATTCTTTAATTTTCTCACCTAAATATAAAAGAAATTCTGACCTCCCAAGTCTCAATTAACTTGAGTCTACTGCTTTTGAAGGAGGTCTCACTCACTCCTGAAAAAAAAACTGCTATTTTTTCCTGCAAGTTACTTCTTCCACATTTTTATTATTTTTCTAAATGGAGTGTTTGGTAATCATTTAATAACATATTCATCATCTAAAGAATATATTTATGTATATATTATATAAATATTCATAGTAGAGTAGATATAGCTCAAAAAAGGGCATAACCCCCAAAAATTGCAACAAAAGGTTTTTCAACGGATTTTGGTAGTATTAGATGTGCTAAATAACATACAAAAAGTCTTACAAAATCCGATCACCGAAAGGTGTTTTTTTCAAGATGGCCGCCAAAATGGCGCCAATATCATAAAACAGCTACAAACTGTATTGTAATTGCGGATTTTATCATCAATATCAGGCTTTATGGGTCAATAAGTCATTTGAGACAATTTTTAATGTGACGACCAAAATGAATGGCATGCAAAAATGGCCGCAATTTATAAACAGCCATAAATCAGTTATTATAACTACATAAGCTTTGTTGTTATTTGTTAATGATGTATGTAATTGTCAAAAACATCCAGCATTGTCTTATTATCGTTTAAACATTTTCGCTATTTTACCTACTGTATGTCAACAAGTCTTTGGAATAACCTGCTTTAAGAAGCTTTCTGATTGGTTAATTTGTCTTACGTCAGATATATTTGACATTAGCAATTTTAGAAAAGTAACACTCAACATGGTAGACATGAATAAACAGGCATCAATAAAAATGATGATTAATTTGAAGTGTCTTTTCATAATCTCTTGGTGAATGAATCTGTTGTGCCCAAGCACTAAAAATAATATATTTTTGAAAGAAGTTCTCTGATTGGCATGATTGGAAGTTAAACTATCTTGAGTATATTTCCCGCACGATTAAAATCCTAACGGTACTGGTTTGGTCTACAGGAGCTCGTGCTTCGTACAGGTCATTCCATTCATAGAAAAAGCCTTTTTCTTGGAAAAAGCGTACTTGTCGTTAGCCATAGTAGCCTAGGTCAATACTAACTCTGGCTATACAAAATTGATTATAAGATTGAAAAGTATTCACCTTATCATTGTAGTAGTGACACCCATGTCCACATTTTAATTATTGTTATTTAAATTTAATGTATTGTTTAAGTATAAATTATTACGTCCATGTTAAATTAATCTTATTAAAATTGTATTAAATATTATAATAATAGTCATAGCCGAGGCCAGCCTAGGCCTAAACCTAGTGACTGTGTGTAGTATATAAAATCCACTCACGATGCAAAGAAAAGGTAAAGCCAAAAGAAAAGATAAAGCCAAAACACTTGAAGATGAAAAAGCCATTAAAATTGCTCCTGATAGAACCATTGACCCTGCCATTTTTATTCCAAAGATTCCTTGTCGTGTCAAATCGGGAGATCTTACATTAGAAGATGTAATGAGTAATGAACTTAGTC